GCGTTCACTCTAGAGTGCAAACACTAAAACTGTATATACATAAATACCACTAAATTATGCTAATTCTATTGTTTTCTATTGTTAAATAATTAGCACTATTTTGTAGTAAATAGTAAAAAGTGTTGTACGCTTTTAGTGTTTACACTTGTTTTGCATGACTTAATAAATCATATCTATGTATTATGTTATTGGATTCATTAAAATGAATTAATAAATTAAAATGAATTAATAAATCATTGTGTACTATGTTATTGGATTTATTAAAATTTTATCTGATAAATGCACATTACGAGGAAGATTTCATGAAGAAATTCGAGCAGTTGATACAAATAAATTACTGCAACTTTCTAAAATATGCGGACTTCAATGATCAAACATGAACCGCCATTTCGTGATGTCATATTAAAACCCACGGGTTGTGATAGCCTGCGTAGCAGCCCTAAGGGGATTGGGGAGGGCCGGCCGAGGGCCGCTACGCAGGCTAGGTTGTGACTTTTTGATGGTTGCAGGATCACAGGCAACCCAAGCAAAGCATTGGAACTTTAATTTACAGTGAATGTATGGAATTCAATTTTTTTAAAATAAAACTTTACAGTGTATGGAATTTCATTTTTTATATATATATACATCTTACCTTAATCTTATGTGTTGCTGATGTTATTTTTAAACATTGCTGTGTGTGGTTTTGAAGAGATTTAGAGCTATGGCGATATTTTTCGTTAAAAATAGCTCTAAATCCCTTCAAAGCCACACACAGCAATGTTAAATAACAGCAAAAACACATACGGATTAAGGTAAGATGTATATATATTAAAAAAATGAAATTCCATACGCTGTAAAGTTCAAATGCTCTGCTTGGGTTGCCTGTGGCAGGATAACTTTGTAATCAAAGTTTTCGGTTTTAAATCAAATAAATAAAGGGAAAAAAACTGCTGAATTATGCAAATTCCCTCGTTCATGTTTTACCGTGGTCGTATCGAGTGAAGCTAAAATAGTGAAAGAAAAAATGTCAAGACGACAAGTTGTTTTTCTGTTTGCGGTTTTCTTTTTTTCTTCTTTTTCTTGTTCGCTTTTTGCCATCTATGTTTGGAAGCCTCCCTAAGTAGGAAATACTATGTCCTCAAACCCCACCTCTCCAGGTACCCACTTCAATTTTTGTGCAACTTTCAAAGCATAAACTAGCAATCAATCAATAAAACAGGCTATGTTTATCACTGGAAGTAATTATCCCTCTCATTTGGGCTTCCTGTGATTAAACATGATACCCAACCAACTTCTTAAATTACATTCCAAGAATGTGCAGCTAAGCAAATTTTACTTGGCATCAAGGCAGAGTTAGGTAGATTGCTCGTAGACTCGTTCAAACGTTCTTGATTTTAGGATAGATTTGTATCTTTAGTCTATTTTAACTGTATACATCGGTCGGTTATGAGTGGAAAGATGTGTGTGATATGGTCGGTTGATCTCCTTTGAATAAGGACAATAAGGTAAGCTATACATGTATACATCAAGTCCTCCCTGTGCTGTAGCGTCTATATCAAGTAAAGATATCACTGCCCTTAAAGATTTTAACGCGAGTTTGGACAGAAAAGTTCACAGATAATCAAAAATCATTAAAATCGATTTAATCTGTATTCAGCGAGATTTTTTGTCACGCTATCGAAGTATGAACTGCGAGAGATCTCTCTAGAGACGAGTATGGTATAGCCCTACTGATAGTCAATATAAAGCCCTAAACTGCGTAAAACTTAGCGAATAAATATCAACTTTATTGTAGGATCACCAGTAGCAATGAGAGTGCTCTTCTTTTCCTAAAGAACAGTGACAAAACGACTGTATTTTGATGGTAAGTATTAGTATTCACAGTTGTTGCTCGTAGGCAGTTAGAGAAGAAATCCGTATCGACAAACAATGTGTCATGATGTGTCGATCATGTTCTGAAAAAATGGAAATGGACTATGACGCGGACCTTAAGATACAGTGCTAAGATTAGAATTATCTTTACTTTTGATGAGTTTTGAAATTTCAGTTTCATTTTACAGACGAAGGGAAATTTCCCTAATTAAATATTCATGGCTTGGTTCAGTTACGTCATCACAATTTTTTATTTACTCGCATTAAACACTACATAGTTTGACATAAATTTAAGATTGTAGAGCGTTTGGTTGGGGGAAGACTACATCCCGGGCGGAGAGAGAGACCACCCCCAAAATTTCCGAGAGGAACATGGCGCCTAGTGTTCCCGGGGGTACTCCCATATAGAGCGCATTTCGTGTGATTGTGCAACGGGACGGTCACGGAACCTCGCGCAAATAACCGTGTTTTTTTGTACAGCCATACGAAATCCGCTCTATTTGCTATAAGTTGCTATACGTGGACGTGCCGCTGGCCAGGGTATGGTTTTTGGCCTTGCTGTCTTTTAAAAACAGGGTATACATTTCACCCGAAAATTGTCTTAAACAGGCTGTACAATTTAGATAAAAGACCGAAATAATTCTTTTTGTGTGTGTTTTGGACAGGGTAACATTTTCATAAGAAATACCGTAGAAATAGTAGAAATACCGTTTCACTGTGCCAGGATTAACGTGTTATCAAAAACTTCTTATTGTCTTTGATGGATTGCGGCGTCGATAGCTATTCCTTATTTTTCCGATTTGTCTTGGACAGGGTATGGATTTTCACTTTCTAGTGCCTTTTAAAAACAGGGTCAGGGTTTTAGATCACTGGCGGCAMGTACCTATTCAAAACGGGGTCGAGTACCCCCCTCCCCCCGGGCTAGTGTGACTATTGTGTTAATACTGCTGTATTTATACATACTGTCAAAAGGATTGATATTCATGGCGGCAAAGTAGATGTTTAGAATTCTAGCGAACAAAAACTGTGTTGACAAGAGTCGGTTTTTTTAAAGTGCATATGACACGATTTTTTTTATTTGAAAAATAGAGTCAATAGAACAAGCATAACAGGTTGGCTAATTACCACTTGATGCAGGGCTTCAAATTTCAGAGAAAATCGGAGTTAAAAATCCATTATGCTAATTTGATGACGTCAATGTGTATTGCTTTAAAACATTTCAACTGTGTTTTGTAACAAGTGTTCCTAATATACCCATGTCAAACTTTGAAAGATTATTTTTGATTAGATAACAAATATCTTCTACAAAACAATAAGGTGACAATAAACAATCGGACAATTTTGTATAATTAATGAGTTACACTTTGACGTCATCAAATTAGCATAAAATCCATTTTTCTCTGAAATTAGAAGCCTGCATCCAGTGGCACTTTACAGAACTATTATTTTCTTCATATTGATTTTATTTTCAAAACAAAAAAAATCATGTCATATGCACTTTAA